ATAACTAAAAATCAGTAAAATAAGAATAAGCATGATACAAACTATTGACCTAGTCCTACAATCTCACACAGATCTCTTTGCCATTTACCAGCACAGCAACGTAGAGGGCTCAAGTTATCGCCAATATTCTCATCGTATCATTTTTCGAGTACAATCCTGGTGAATGTCGCATTTGATCATTCCATAAAATTATAAAGAGTTGAAAACATGAACGACGACATAATTAAAACGCTTCAATTCCAAATTACTCTTCTCGAACAAAAAATTACATTCCACGAGACGATAATTGATTTACAAAAAACAACCATCACATCATTACAAAAAGTCGTAGAACAATCATCCGTTCAATCAAAACAACAACCTTTTCTTCAAAATGTTCTTGAAAATCTTTCCTCAACTATCACTCTACTTAATAATAAATTTGAACAATCTTCATCTCAATCTACCTCTACGAATATTCTATCATCTCAAAATTCTGTTAATATTTTACCTGCTCAACCTTCTGCTAATATTCTCCCATCACTAAACTCTGTTAATCAACCTTTATCATCACAATCGACTACTACTCAGTTGAAATCTCAAAACAAAAAGCAGAAACATTGTATAATCGGTGACAGTTTAACTTCCCACATCGACAAACGAAAATTGCAGACAAATTCGATTGAAGTAGAAATTCGATCATTTCCACGAAATGGAACAATTGAAAACATTTCTCGAATGATCTACGAAGGACGTCTAGACAATGTATTATCTTCTTCAAAATCTTCTACTTTTGTTATCGGTACAAATAATTTCACAGTTGAATCGCCCAATTCTGCCATTGACAAAACAAAAAATTTAGTGCACATCATGAAGAAATATTATCCAAAATGTGAAATTATTTTAACGAAAGTTCCTCCACGTTTAACTGAATCTATTGATGAAAATCTAAATATACAAGAATCAATACAATCATTTAATACTCAATTAGAAGATCTATCATCTGAATTAAAATTTAGATCTATCGACTCAACGTTGACATTGAATGATATT